CGCTCCCAGGAGGGGCGGCCGGTGCAGGGTGAGTGTTCGGCGAGACGCTCCCGTCTCCACTCCGGGGCCGCCGCCCCCAGACGGGGCCCTGCCCCGCCCCCGCGCCACGACTCGCTCCCGCGGGGTTGCCACGGGCCTCAGACCTTCCGGCGCGGGGCGCTTCCTTACCCCCAACTTTTGCTTGTCGCCCCCTCCCCCAGTGATTGGGGCTCTCATCGGGAAGCAGGAGGGCCGAAACATCGAGGTGATGAACTCCTTCGAGCTGCTGTCCCACACCGTGGAGGAGAAGATTATCATTGACAAGGAGTATTATTACACCAAGGAGGAGCAGTGTGAGAGGGGACTGGGAGTGGGGGGCGGACGACAGGGCGGGAAGATGGGGAGGGTCGGGGAGAAGGAGCAGAGGGGCCGAGAACGGAGGAGAAAAGGCGGAGACGCTGAGAAGGTCTCCGAAAAAGACCGCGTTCGGGGTAGTCCCCAAAAATAAAGGCTGGGAAAAGACAGAAGGAGGAATGACTTTAAACTGAGCCAGGATTGGAGGGAGAAGCTGGTGAAAAGACACCAGGTGCTTCAAGTTAAGGAAAGATGGTTTAAGGAAATACTGTGTGCTCTGGCCCCTTCCTCTCAGTTAAACAGGTGTTCAAGGAGCTGGAGTTTCTGGGTTGGTATACCACGGGGGGGCCTCCTGACCCCTCCGACATCCACGTCCATAAGCAGGTATGTCCGTGCTTAGCCTGTGCGTGCTGGGGCAGAGACTAGAGGATGAGGGGAAGAGCTTGGAGCCCTGACTTTCTTGTGCGTCGTCCCTCTCTTCCAGGTGTGTGAGATCATCGAGAGCCCCCTCTTTCTCAAACTGAACCCTATGACCAAGCACACAGATGTGAGTAATGCTGGCCCCACACCCACTTTGTCATGCCTGTCTCCCACCCTGCCTGCCTTTTACCCTCACTGCCTGCTATTAATCTTTGCCTGTATGACATCCCTTGTCTGTTGGGGAATGCTGGAGTTTGACCTCCATTCTGCCACTAACCAGCTGTGACTTTGGCTGTCGTTTAACTTCTAAACTGCATTTTCACGTGCAAAATGGGGATAGTCCCTTCTTCACTGGTTTCTTGGGAAGATATAGATGAGAAAGCGTGTGAAAGGGCCTCGCCCAGCTTTTGGCACTGGTACTGTGTGTAGTTTCAGGCGATTTGCTGTTAGTAAGAGCTGTTCTCCATCTCTTCTTTCCAGCTTCCGGTCAGCGTTTTTGAATCTGTCATTGATATAATCAATGGAGAGGTAATACGCTGCCCTTCAACCCTCAGGTCCTGCTCTTGGCCTGTTTTCCTGCTTCTGACTCTCCCTGTGTGGGATACTTTGCTCTGTAGGCCACAATGCTGTTTGCTGAGTTGACCTACACTCTGGCCACAGAGGAAGCTGAACGCATTGGGGTAGACCACGTGGCCCGAATGACAGCAACAGGCAGTGGGGAGAACTCCACCGGTAATGGAGGGGACTTCTCAAAAGTGGGGGTGGAAGGTGTGGCCACCTGCTCTCCCAACTTTCACCTGTCCCTGTCGCCTCCGCAGTGGCCGAACACCTGATAGCGCAGCACAGTGCCATCAAGATGCTGCACAGCCGCGTCAAGCTCATCTTGGAGTATGTCAAGGCCTCTGAAGCAGGTAGGACAGGGGCCTCCCTGGCAGTCCGCCATTTTTCCTCTCCCTCCCAGGGAAGTGACAGCATCCACATCAATGCAGCCTCTTTTTGTACTTTTAGGAGAAGTCCCCTTTAACCACGAGATCCTGCGGGAGGCCTATGCTCTGTGCCACTGCCTCCCAGTACTCAGCACAGACAAGTTCAAGACGGATTTTTACGATGTAAGTGTAAAACCCTGGACGGGAAGGTGGGACTTAGGCTGTCATTTTTACGTACAGGGCCTGGGACTCGGCTGTCCCCTGGGCATACCGTGGGGGTTCCCCTGGGGAACTAGTTCTTTCTGTTCCCTCCCAGCAATGCAATGACGTGGGGCTTATGGCCTACCTCGGCACCATCACCAAAACATGCAACACCATGAACCAGTTCGTGAACAAGTTCAATGTCCTCTACGACCGACAAGGCATCGGCAGGCGAATGCGGGGGCTCTTCTTCTGATGAGGGTACTTGAAAGGATGATGGACAGGGGTCAGACAGCTGTCCCGATGGGGAGGGCTGTGCTCCCTTGAGAGAAACTGCTGTTCTTTAATAAAGGGGGAGCAGCCCCTCCGCACCCCTCCCAATGGTTTTGTCCTCTCTGTTGGGCACGGTACTGGTTTCTAAACTCGGATCTTAACTTAAGCCTGCCCGTTGTTTCAGCCTTACTCGTCAACAGAATCCCTTCTCATCAGCCCTTCTGACACCCTTCAGTGAGGAGTCGCTGCCACTTGGAGCGACCCCACATCCAGTCAGGTGGACTGTCTTAAGGGTCAGAGGCTCAAAGGCCACCTGCTTCCACCTGGACAATCTGTTCTACCCCTTCTTGTAAACTCCAACACCATCTTACACAGCCCAACCCTATAAACGTGACAAATAACTCCTTCCCCAAGCTAAATTTAAGTGTTTCACACACCATATTAAGTGCATCTTTATTAGGGAGAACAGGAAGTCTTGATCCTGTAGGCACTGAGTTACCAGGAAGGTTTCTCAATTAAATGCTGAGTACTTACTACACGGGTCTGTAATATGCCTTGCCCACGTGGCACCACAGCTCCGAGAGGGAGGCACCAGCATACGTGGGAGGAAGCCAGGAAACAGTCTACCGGTCAGGACTGCTTGTGCCAGGGAACGCATTTCTTCCAGTTCCCAGTCCTCCTCACCCCCTGACCAGGGCTTTAGAGTGGGAGCTGGGGACTAAGAAGTTGAATAAAACGAGCCGAGAGAAATATTCCAAGAGAAGCAGAAGAGGAGAAAAGCTGAGAGAGGCCCTGCACTTGCATCGGCAGCTCATCCCCAGAGCCTGACTGGCACCTGCTCCGTGGTGCGCTCAACAAGCGTTTGCGGCTGAGCAGGGGAAGGGGATGAAGAGGCCCAAACAGAATCCCTGCACGGCAGGAACTCACTCCTTGCCCTTAGTGTCTGTACTGGTGCTTGGCAGGTAGATAACTGGAATTTACTGAGTGGACAGAACCAAACAAGGCATGAAAAAAGAACCAGACATTCGCTAAAAAGCCCACAAGACCCTGTTTTAACGGAAGTCAGGCCAGGTGAGAAGACAGCAATCTACAAACATTTTATTAGCCAAAGGGATAAAACGAGTGCAGCATGGGAAAAGAGGGCTCCTCCTCCCCCTCAGGGGCACCATCACACCCTTGGAAGTGGCAGGGCAGCGTGGAACAGAGCGGACCCTGGGGTCTCAAGCAGGCCGAAGTCAGACAAAAGTGATCCGTGTTCGGGAAGTGTTGACCTGCCAGACGTTTAGCTCCTCGTACTCATCGAGAGCCGCCTGGAACTGGGCAGGCGTGAAGCCACGAGAGATGCAGCGTTGCTCTGCCTCAGAGAACCGGACGCTTTGGCCCCCCGAGACCAACTCACGGACAGTGGCGAATATCACATCTGCTGGCCTCTGGGTCCTAAAGGAAACGTGTGGGTGTGTAAGAGCAGGGGACAAACACGAACGCCCAACAGCACCCGTGAACAGTGACGACCAGTATGAGAATTCCGAGGCCAGCCTCACACAGGGATGGGGAAGCCTAAAAGCAGTCTGGTCCAGAAGATCAAGGTGACTCAATTTCAGGCTTCAGGAAGCCACTCACCTAGCTGGCTGCCCCTTGTCGCTTAGAAGCGAGTCCTTGGACATCTCCATCAGCCTTATGGCTTCGTTCACATCTTCCTTCTCCACCGTGTCCACCATTCGCAGACGCGCCTAGGGGAAGGCAGGGGGAGGGGACCGGGAGGAGGGCAATGGAGCCGAGTCAGGAAACGCCCTTGTCCAGCCCGAAGGCTGGGCAGCCCGTGTCGCCTGCTCACACACCAGGAGTGGACCCCCCCACATCCGCAGTGTTGGGCCGGCACTGTCAGACCGAGACGAGTGCAATGCCCAGGGCAGCGTCCAGCCATTGCCCAAGTCTCCGCCTCTCAACACTGGCCAGTCCCGGTGTTCAGCTGTCCTGTGAGGGAGACCAGACCCTTCTGAACTTCGCTGGGCTCCCCGCCATGACAGGCGAGCTTGGGGAGCTCAGCCAAGAAGGCCACGGACAGAGGCTGTATCCCAGGGGCTCGGGAAGTGCTAGCTCAGCAGTAGGTCAGGTAATCACACTACCTGCACGAACAGCACTTTGGAGCCCCCCGGACTCAGGTCCAAGACGGGAGAACAGAAATGAAGGTTTATAGCACAGCAGCTAGGACCCAGGAAGTGAAGTGAACCCCAACCACCCCGTTGGCGAGGCTTCAGCAGCAGGGAGAAGGCCTTGCCCTCCACGGATGCCGTGCGTGCCCTGCTGGAGCAGCAAGTACCCACAGTGCGGTAGCACGGAGAGGACCACTATCTGCACTGTCAGCACTTTAGCCCCAGCAGGGCTGGAGCAGGAGGGAGGCGGCAAGGAGAGCATGGTCAGGAGGGCCGCCCAGTGAAAGCCCACGTACATGGCCCTCCGGCAGCAAGGGCACTCACCAGAGCGGTGGAAAGCCGCAGGATAGCCAGCAGGGTCCGGGCAGAAGTGTAGGTGGCATCCTTGCTAGCCCAAGCCTCTCGCCTCATCTCCACGTATGCTGCTGTGATGTAGTCAGCCAGAGACTCCGGCACCGTGGGCTGCTTCTCGCGGCACATGGCGACGTAACGCCTGCGGGGCAGGTTTGCGGGAAAGCGGGAAAGGGTGATGGGGGATGGAGCACACACGGGCGTGTTTTCTTCTGTACAGGGGTTCCCTGTTCAATAAAACTTGTGGGGAAGGGAAGGCCTTTAAATGGGAGAAACCAATTAGTGGGTGATGCTGTGCTTGGCTTGCATATGGGTTTCTCCAAATGTACGGTCTTCAGTACGTGTCAATTATCTCCAACTTTTCAGGAATATAGCCTTTGTAAGAACAAGACAAATCCCTCTGAAGAGATCTCATTCCCTTCCCTAAACCTATGACATAGCAACAGAAATAATTTTTTTTTTTTTTTTTTGAGCTGGAGTCTCACTCTGTCGCCCAGACTGAAGTGCAGTGGCCGCTCCCGGCCACCGCGGCCTCGACCTACTGGGCTCTGGCGATCCTTCCGCCTCAGTCTTCCGAGTAGCTGGAACTACAGGTGTGTGCTACGCCCAGCTGATTTTCTGTAGAGATGAGGTTTCACCAAGTTGCCCAGGCGGATCTCGAACCCGCTGGATCAGGTCAGCCTCCAAAGGTGCGGGATTACAGGCTGAGCCACCGAGCCCGGCTTAGAAATACATTTTAAGAAGGGGGGCAAAGATGTGAGGAATTATCAGGCTCGTGGATAGCGATAAAGGTTGAATATCTATTATCTAAAATCTTAGGACCAGAAGCATTCTGGATTTTAGGTTATTTGCATGTTTGTAATATGATATCTTGGAGATGGGACCCAAGTTCAAATAAAAAATTCATTTATGGCTGGCTCGGTGGCTCAGCCTG